CCATGTAAAAATATTTTAAATACATTACTATTCTTTTAACATGCAGTATCAGGTAATATGGGCATGTAGCCTCACTTTTTTTTTCCCAAGTCATAAATGATGAAAGGGTAAAACCCATACAAAAATTAGGAAAATATGAATAGTGGCCAACACAAGCAACACATAGGAAGTGCTGCAGGCAATTGGGTTTAGAAGTATAAACATTACATTAGTAGACCCAGGAGATAGCATGATGTAGCCACACCTGGAGAGTCACTCTCCTATTCCCCTCCCAAGCCACTAATGAAAACAAGACTGAAGCCAAAACGCGAAGATTCAACTATACAACATCAGTTTTGGTCTCAGAGGCTCAGCAACATCAAAAAGGCAGAAAATAAGCTGGATTCACTTCAGCCAAAATATGTTTTCACTTGAAATAAGATCAAATTCTGTCTAGGAGACCTCAGGATTTTACTAGATGCTGTAAATCAGTTTAGCAGCTGTGGGTGGCACCACTTTCACAATAAACTACCCTACTGAAAAGTTCTGTATATGCAAGGAAAGTTCTATGTAAAATAAGTGAAAGCTGAACAATGAAACAATCATTAATCTTTCATAACTGTTTCCCATACAAAATATGTGCTCCTATTATCTGAATATCACAGTGAAATAATCACAATACTGGCTGACCTTCATGGTGCCAAATACGTCATTAGTTAATTAGCTTTTAACAACTCTAAAGTGTTTCAGTTTCCCAAGAAAGCGAGCTAAAGAATATTCAGTCAAAGGTCTAAAATAAGGAAAATACAGAAAACACATATTGCAGAAAATACAAATACCTGTACATCTATTGCTATAAGAATTGATGAGTCATTCTTATTAGTGGCTGGTATGTTGATCCAAAGGGATTGGTTACGGGAATCCGTTACTGTGTTCATACAGCCACAGGAAACTTACCTGGGCGCATCTACATTACAATCTCATTTACAGGAGCTATTCTTTTTAACATAATGAAGGTGTGTACTGGGGTGTTCAGTCCGTCAACCCAAAGACTGCTCAAAGAACCCCTAGCAAGCATACAGCCCATTTGAGAACTGCTCGGTAAACTGCAGGTTTGATCTTAACAGTACAATAACTCACTGGACAGCACAGTGGATGCTGGCCAGCACCCTGTAGTTAGTGATGCATACAATCAAGCATGGGATTTGGGTTCGACTGCAGAATCTAGGTTTTCACTCAAAAGGCTGGCAGGGGCAGAAACAAATGTTTACGGCCCAGGCTAACAGGGCTTAGCCACCCCAAACTGGGCTGATTACAGTGGCTCCAGTGCCACTGCTGCCACAGTGCACCCCCGCCACATGCTTCTCTGCTGCCATGCACACAGCACCAGCACCAGAACAGCCCTGAGAGAGGGAGGAGCGGGGTGAGGCGGGTGCACTCCGCACTGCCCAGCCCCCACAAATAATATTTTCTAGTGCCGCTTATGGGGAAAAGAGAGCCTGTCCACCACAAGGGCCCCCACACAGCTTGCTGGCTAGAGTCTCAGTGGGGGCTGGGCAGTTTCTTCCCCTCTGCCCCCAGTTCCCAGAATGATGAAAAGCTGAGCCAGGCAGCCCCATGCTGCAGCTCCTGGCTGCAGCTATCAAGAGGCTGAGGAGGAGAGTCGAGGGCACCCTCCTGCTGTGTGGACCCGGCTGAGTTGTCACCGAGACCCACAAACTTGGGTGGGGGAGGGGATCCGCATGGCAAAGAGGCCATTTCCCTACCACCCTGCCTGGCTTCACAGGGAGGAGACAGAGACAAGCAACTGCTGAGGCTAGCAAGCTGCCCAGCAAGGGGCCCCTGGGATGGTGGCAGAATATGACCTACATTGAAGCATAATGGATGTGCTGCAGATGTTCAAAAAAGCACTCTAATCTACAGCTCTTTAGTCTAATACTACACGCATCAAGGGTTAACTTAGAGTGGGATCCACCATTTTTAAGGTGCTTGAAGTACTGTGAATATTTGTTCTGTTACAGCTTTAAAGCACATTAAGTGTACTGTCTGTACCTAGGCCAGATGTCCATTTCTCCCTAAATTAACTACTTTCCTTGTCCAAGGCCACGAAATAGACAATGTTGTTCTTCGTTGCAGATACCATGGGTCCCTACTCTACTCTTCCCCTTATTTCCAAGTGCCCAGCAGTTTGCAATGGTTCTCCCAAAAGAAGCAATGTGCATTCTCTGTCCCCACAGCTCTACTCCCTAATTATTCATGTGGGATACTGAGCACTTTCCAAGGAAACAGAGATTGTATAAACAAGAAAGAATATTATGCTGTACCACTTAATAGGCTGCAGCATTTGTACATCCCAGCGCTCCCCAAGATAGTTCAACAACCCACACCACCTAATGCAGGAGGCTATGCCAAAATAACACCACAGAGCTCTTCCTGGCTTCATTGTCTAAGATGGGTAAAGCAAACATTGAAGTTATTTTTAGCAATTCCTTTATGCACATAAGAGCTGGTCTAGTGTTTTCCTTTTTGTGATCACAAAATCTTTTTTTCTAACTCAAAAAAACAAATCAGTTAAACCAATATGGACGCATTTTACAGCAGACTTAAAGTGAAAACAGTAAAAACATAGTTTGTAAATAAAGTTGTTAGAGAGAAATTACAGAGCAAAGTATTGTGGTTACTAACAAAAACAGTGAGGCAAGAAATATCTAACAATGTCAGGCTAGGAGCTTCAACATACAGTCTACTGAAGTTGACTAGACTTCAGATCTATTTAGAAATCAACAAATCAACAGAATAATACGGCATAAGCATTAAAAAGAGTAAGTGTAGTCAGTATTTCCCCCGCAGACATTTTCTGAAAGGGCTTCATGACTGAAAAGTCACTGGCAGTTGTATTTATTTATTTATTTTTAATTTAGTAGATACATATCAGCTAACCCTTTTATTCATTTGGTTCCTGCCTGTTCTCAGCAGGTAGTCTTACTATTGTTACCAAGGGGATAAGCTTCAAAACACACATGGACATTTGACATGGGAACTGTTCAACAGAACATAAATACTAGCTTCTAAACTACCACTTTGTGAAAACTATAGAGAGAACCTCCAAGGAGTTGGTTCTGACTCTGTGTTTGCTGGACACGGGCAGAAAGGACCAACACTTGAAGACTAAGCTGAAAGCACCAAACCCTAGTCTTGTCTACACCATGTGCGATAATGCAAGGGAGTACTACCCATCCTTGCTGAAATATGACACAGCCACTTCCTGGTTCACACCCATGGCTACTTTAGCAGCAATAGAAGGTAACATTTTTTCAGCATGAATTGTGCACAGAGCAGAAGTGAGCAAGCCAGCCATGTCTTCCTGGCAGCATTCCTTAACACAGTCCAACATGGTGCAGACATGGCCCACAACCCTATCAAGAAAAGAAGCCTCATCTCTCCTCACACTGGCAATTCATCATCTCCACCTATCAAGCTATGGTTTTAAGGATGTCAGATGTTAAACTGGCCTTCTAAAAAGATATCACAGCTGCACTGGCCCAAAATCAGGTCAGAGAACAAAATCAGACGTTGAGAGCCATGATGTGTTTCATAATTCCCCTTCTCGTTTAAAGAGTGAAATAATCTGTTACCTGACTATATCAGCAACTGATCATTCAGCTCTCCGTGCTGGTCAGTACAGGGTACAACCAAAGTTCTGCTCTATCTTCCTCATTCATGCTTTTCATCCATCCCTAAAGGTTCGGGAGCAGTGATCTTGAGGGGGCTATAATACGTGCAATTCACTGAGGGAATAATGGGGTGCTTTACATTACTTTACTCTTCCCTGGGTGCAAAAGGCAAGTTGTGATTTTGCTCTGTGTGCACCATATATTGCAAAGCCTTACTGTGCTTGCTGCAAAGTCTTCTTTTTTTTTTTTTTGAAAAAAACATATGGTACTAGTTATCATTGTGAATACAAATAAAAATAAAGACTTCTAGAAACCACCATCTGATTTATTCCTGACCACTGTAAAACCGGTAACAGAATATTCTGTCAAACCACTGTTACGGAATTTGAATAATAATGTCTACCCTGCATTCTGGCTTAGAACAAAAAAGTTACTATCTAGGATACTTCTCAAAACAAAACACAACACAGAAGAGCAACTACGCTAAAGAAAAGAAAGAATTCAGTTGAAGTTTTCATGAATTGCATAAAACTGTTACTGATGTTAACTTCCCTAACACAGGTTTTATAATTAATTAAATTATATCAGTGTCATACTATATAAGACTGAACAGAAGCCACCAAGAGCTGCAATTTACTGAGCAGGGCTGCAGTTTAAAATCTCAGGCCAAAGACCAGTAAAAGCTAGGAGCAGCATAGAAATAAAACTCACTGTCTACCAGAAAGCCAAAGAAATGAATTAGACTTTTGGCACTAGTTATGCTCAAGTACATGGCCAATGTTAAAGTACGTTACCAACAGCTGCTATCTGAAAGAATGGGAAAGCAACCAAATTCCTACTGCATCCTAGCACTAGACTCCACACTTAAAAATTAACGTGCTGATTCTACAAACATTTACAGAATTGTACTCCAAACTATTAAGTCCCTTCATTAACGTAATAAATTACTCATGAATCTACAATTTTTCTAAAGATTTATTTTGCAGCTGAATATTCATATTATCCCAAAGTGCTGAGATAGCTTCAAACAGGCACATGGGAAATTTGTGATGCTCTATTTGTGGTTAGTTACTAATGTAGCAACATTCTGCATTAATGAAACTCCTGATGTGCATTAATTACAATTCTGGCTTGTAACATGTTTTTGTGCCTATTAGTTTGTTAATATGTAGGACAAAAATAATCATGTATGACTTATATGGATAAGGGAATGCAAGCTAAAGCTCATTTAAATTTAGAAAAAACAGACTATATTAAAAAACCATGCAGTTTCTCACCAGTGCCCCTCTTGTGCATGGAAAGACGTCATTACCAACAGCATATCTGAACTCCTCAAAATGAACTTACCTTGGAGTCCCTAAAAATTGCTGTGATCTCTGTTGTTCAGCCACATACAAAGATGCTGCTGTTGCTAGTAGTTCCCTTTTTTCAAGATCTGTCAATTTGTGTCCTAGGTTAAAAAAACAGGTTTTAAAAATGGTTAAATGCCATGGGCCAATTTACTCCCTCCACACAAAACACACATGCAAAATAAACTATAAAGCTCTATAGTCATATTCTAAATATTTTTTATCCTAAATTAAAAAACAGCATGGCAGACGCTCACAGTTTCAGGGTTTAAATAGTATGTTTTCATACAGATCAGCCCTAGTGTTAACACTGGTATCTCTGTTAAAACAATCTGACAAGTGAAAGAAAAAAAATGATGCCACAGCATCTTGTTTTCATTAATAAAATGTCACTGGTTGACATATTGTGGCTCATGCTGGTAAAGAATCCATCTGTACATTAGAACTTACTCAAAATATGCTGCATTCTTTTCAATACTTTACCTTCTCAAGACTACATTTTCTCTACTCTGAGAGTGATAAATACATCAGTCTATCTTGCCGAAAAGACTGAGAACTGTCAGCCCAATTACCAGGAGTGTCTGTCAGGCCATATTAATTTGTTACTCATATCCAAGCTATGCTGAACATTTTCTAAACAAAGTAGTGGTATGAACTCCACTCCCCAAAGCATGTCTTACAACATAAAGGCAGAAAGACAAATTAGAGTAGGCAGAAGAGGTACAACCTAAGTAGAGAAGTCAAGGTCTTGGTCCAAAAAATAAAAGTCAACTAGCTTCCTCACAGGTAGTGTGGCAAAAATGAGTTTTCAAGTGGGGCTTAAAATAGGAGAGATACAGGCTCTATAAACGAGTTCAGAAACAGCTCAGCAGAAAGCAGGAAAGAAGACAAAGACATTCATGAAAGAATCTGGTGAATGGGCGGATGAGGCTGAAATGTCAAAAAGGGGAAGATGATCTGAAATGAGGCAATAGTGATTACAGTAAGAAGATGAAGAATTATGCTTTCTTTTAAAAGCAGTAACAAGAAGTTAAAATATATGGGGTAGCAGAGTTTGGGGGTTTCATAGCAGAGACAACAGTGAAAACAACAGGTAAGAGAATTTTTAGCAGAGACATAATACTGCTCAGAAGGTAGGAATACAGGACAAGAAAAGTGTTTGGGAGGCAGAAACTAGAAAGGAGTAGTTGTGATAGGAAATAATGAAGAAATAAAAGCTTTAGTTGGAAGGTTAGAAAGAAAAAAGAGGACTAGTAGAGGTAGCAGACAGGAATGACAATATATAGTGCTAGGTCAAAATAAACACCTTGTTTTAATTACAATAAAAATGGTCCCCACTGAATTCCTCATCAGTAAATGCATTCTGAATCTCCGAAGATTACTATCAACTCCAATTAAATAAAAAAGAACATTACATCATTTAATTTGCATTACATCCTACTTACATAAGGACCAGTAAACAAAGAGACTTTGCAGTAATATTAAATAAGCCAAAATAAAGAGTTTAATCCTTCAAACCCTTCTGTGAAATGTTATCAATTACTTTGGTACGTACATTTCTAGCACTGACAATTTCTCATGTGACTAAAGATTTGCAAGATGAGTTCAATGTCAGCATTTAAGGCCAAATCCTATTCCATTTAAGCATCTAAGTGCAATCCCTTTCCACTCTGCTATAGGCCTGGGGAGGTCAGGGGGAAAAGGAGTGGGAGGGGGAGAGGGAGGAATTACCCCATATATTTTTGTAATGTGCTATTCAACCTTAAGACTAAGTCACACAAAGGAGCCAGGTGGACAAGAACCCACCCAACTTTTGTGTTAATGGCTTTTCATGGCCTTGAACAGAACAGAATAGGATCGTGCTTTGGTGTCTAAATCTAGATGCCTAATAATTGGACTAAGAAGTGGACCCTAGTATCCTAGAACAGCAAGCAACCCTACTACACTCCATCAAGGAGAAGCATCTAAGCAGAGGCTCTACATTGCTGCCTATCTTAGCAGTCATCAGCTAGAGGGGTTACTGGACAGCTGTACAGAAGGACAGCAAATAACGTCATGGGACCACAAAATGATTGGTGTACTTGGTCAAAGAACCCTCAAACTTTTATTCACGTTTCACCTGTGATCACTATTGCTGAATGCCAGTGTCCACCACTGCTACTACGTGTAAGTTAATTTAGTGCTATCCATGGGGAAATCTTTAACAGAAGTTCTCAAAAGCATCAGAGCTTATTATAAATAGTACAGCACTAGAATTTCAAAATACGGATGACCTCTGCGTAAGACCCAGTTCAAGGAGAGCATTCTTGAATGTTTTGTAATCATTACAATTTGCATATTCTGCAAAAAGAAGAAAAGTGAATGGTATCACCTGGAAGCCACAGAGCAGCAATGGTATTATAGTAGGGTAATGATGACTGCCCTTACATGGTACAATGGGGTAGCTGTCACAAGTAAAAAAAATGTAAATTTAAAAATAACAAAGATTCACAAAAGCCAAAAGATCTATATCAATGTATTTTAATTTAGCCATTATTAACATATTCTGCTAACAGATTACTCTAACTTCCTTTGCTCAATGTTTATTATTGCTTCATCTGCCTTGAAATGGAAATTTATCAAATACATGCACAATGCAACTTCTGAAAGTCTGACTCAGAAAATAATCTTGATCTTTCTCTTGCCAACAGTGGAAAAACTGATGGCAAAATGAAAATCAGCAGTTCAGAACTTCTATGTATATTGGGTATGCATATGAGACTCTAAGCAGCTTCATGAGCAAACTAGTTTGGCTCTTAGGCTTAAGATTAAGTAAGCTGTCAGATATCTACAACCCAACAGTATACATTCTATTATTAGGTTTCTTTAAATTAGATAGTATGCAAATTTAAATATTTGCTTCCATGCCTCCACCAATAACAACAAAAGTCCCTTACATACAAGAAAATGTACATTAAACTCTGTCACACACCCCTCCCTCCCCCACTAAAAAAAAGCCTATGACATGTTGGTGTGACCAAGTCTATGTATGTCTACATGCTCCCACAAATATAAACAGCATCAACTCATATAAGGACAAGGAAAACTATAAAGATCCCAATTTGGAGGTTTTATTGCACGACCTTCATCACAAGTGAAATCAATAACTGCTTTTGCACTTCTCTGCGCTGCAAAAACTATTTTCTCCTTCAATCTTCAATAAAAATCAAACTCCAAACAGTGAACAAAAGTCAGCAACTTGAAACGGGTTAACAAGAGAACAAGAGTTATGTACACCTTTTCATTATAAAAAACCCAAGGGGGGAACAGGGTGGTGGTTGGGG